GATTATTAAGTTTGCAGATGATATCAAGCTGGAAGAGGTTGCAAGTGTTTTGGAGAATAGGGTCAAAATTCAAAATGATCAGGACAAACTAGAGAAATGGTCTTAGATGAACAAGATGACATTTAATAAGGACAAATTCAAAGTATTCCACTTGGGAAGGAAAAATCAGTTTCACACATACAAAATGGGAAGCGACTGTCTGGGATGCAGTACTGCTAAAAGGTATTTAGGGGTCCTAGGCTGTGTCTAGACTGCATTCCTCTGTTGACAGAGGCCTGCAAATGAAGCACATTGAAATTGCTAATGAAGCCGGGATTTAAATATCCCGTGCCTCAATAGCATAAACATGCCGCCACTTTTTTTGACATGGAGTTTTGTCGACAAAAAACCATCAGTCTAGACGCAGATCTGTCAACATTTTTTTGAGGAATACAGAATCTGTCGAAAAAGGGTTTATTGTCGACAGATCTGCATCTAGACTGCCGTTTTTTGTCGACAAAACTCCGTGTCAGAAAAAAGCGGCAGCCATGTTTATGCTAATAAAGCGCGGGATATTTATATCCCGGCTTAATTAGCAATTTCCATGTGCTTCATTTGCATCCTTCTGTCTACAGAGGGATGCAGTCTAGACATAGCCATAGTGAACAACACGTTAAACATGAGTCGTCAGTGTGATGCTGTTGCAAAAAAAGCAAACATGATTCTGGGATGCATTAACAGGAGTGTTGTGAGCAAGACATGAGAAGTTATTCTGCTTTACTTTGTACTGATTAGGCCTCAGTTGGTGTACTGTGTCCTGTCTGGGCACCACATTTCAAGAAAGATGTGGAGAAATTAGAGAAGGTCCAGAGAAGAGCAACAAAAATGATTAAAGGCCTACAGAACATGAGCTATGAGGGAGGACTGAAAAAAAATTGGGCTTGTTTAGTTTAGAAAAGAGAAGACTGAGAGGGGACATGATAGCAATTTTCAATTATCTAAAAGGCTGTTACAATGAGGAGGGAGAAAAATTTTCTCCTTGGCCACTGATAGGACAAGAAGCAATGGGCTTAAATTACAGCAAGGATGGTTTAGGTTGGACATTAGGAAAAACTTCCTGTCAGGGTGGTTAAACACTGGAATAAATTGCCTAGGGAAGCTAGGGAATTTCCATCACTGTAGATATTAAATATCACGTTGGACAGACATCTATCGGGAATGATCTAACAGTACTGGGTCCTGCTGTGAGGGCAGGGGACTGGACTTGATGACCTCTTGATGGTCTTCCACTTCTAGTGTTCGATTATACTATAATTTTAAATTAATAGAAGTCAAGGTCAATTTTAAAAGATTAGTGTGCAGTTTTATCTTGTGGAAAAGTGAGTTGTCTAAAAGCAGAGGCAAATCTGTACTTTTCCGAGGAACCAGAAATCTGGGAAAGAAAACTATCATAATCTTAATATTTCAGCCTTCAGGATAAACAGAATGTTAACATATAAAGCTTCTACAAATAAGACGAAGTTACTCACCTTCGTGCAGTAACGATGTTTCTTTGAGATGTGTCCCCGTGGGAGCTCCACTCTTGGTGTTGGGCTCGTCCTGACGTCACTGGTCGGAGGTTTTCAGTAGCAGTTGTCAGCCGGACCACGCGTGCGCTGTCAGCATCTCGTGGCTTTCGCACCTTTGATCGCGTGGTCCAGCTCCCATCAGTTCCTCTCACCGCTTGGTTCTCTGCAATGAGAAAGACACAAATTCTGGAACGGGGAGGAGGGCGGGACGTGGAGCACCCAGGGGGACACATCTCGAAGAAACATCATTACTGCACGAAGGTGAGTAACTTCGTCTTCTTCTTTGAGTAGTCCCCATGGGTGCTCCTCTCTTGGTGACTGTAGAGCAGTACCCAGACAGCGCTCTGGACTTAATATTTGTCTGCAATTGATAATACTGCAGAGGCTACAGCTGAGTCTTTGGCTAAACATTGCACGATTGCATAGTGTCACATGAAGGTAGTATTTGATGACCACATGGCCGTCTAGCAGATATCTTCCAGAGACACTCCACGGGCGAAGGCTGTGGATGTAGCTACTGCCCTCATGGAATGAGCTTTTGGTTGTGAGAGAAGAGGTCTATTTCGGGTAGCGTGACAGGTGGTAACACATGTGCTTATGAGTTTTGCAATACGCTGGCTGGAAAGCGCGCTGCCTTTGGATCGTTGTGCTATTGACACTAGTAGTCTGTCTGTTCTGTGCAAGTCCCGAGTTATATCGATATAGAACAAGAGTGCTCTGCGCACATCAAGGGTGTGTAATAAGGTGTCCCTCTGTGATGAGTGAGGTCTAGGGTAAACAGATGGTAATACAATGGGTTTGTTGAGATGGAACAAAGAACATACTTTTGGAATAAATGTTGGATGCAAGTGTAATGTGACCGACTCTTTAGTAAACACTGTGAACGGTGGATTTGCCATCAGTGCAGCCAACTCGCTGACTCTATGTGCAGAAGTAATCACTAGTAGAAAGACTACTTTCATTGTTAACATTCGAAATGGCATAGTTGCTAATGGCTCAAACAGAGGATACATCATGGTATCGAGTACCAAATCTAGGTTCCATGAAGGGGTAGGTGGTTTCCGTGGAGGGTGGAGGTTAGTCAGACCTTTTAGAAACTTTTTAGTAGTTGGGTGGGAGAACACGAAGAATCCTTCCATAGGATGATGAAAAGCACTAATCGCTGCCATATGTACTTTCAGAGAAGAGATCGCCAGACTGAAACCCTGCAGATGAACAATGTAATCAAGGATTCAATGGAGTGCAGCTGTTTCAGGGTTGTATGACTGTTGCAACACCACCATGCATATCTAGTCCACTTCGTCAGATAAGTCTTTCAAGTAGATAATTTCCTACTGTGCAACAGGATTGCAAGTGCCTTCACTTGCTCCAAACAGAGGTGCTCATTTGTTTTGAGCCAATCAGGAACCAGGGTGTCAGGTGTAGAGTTCCTAGTTTGGGATGAAGGACAGAACCTCGATTCTGCGATAGGAGATTTGATAGGGGGGGAAGCGGATATGGCGGTCTCACGGACATCCTTTGGAGGAATGGATACCAGGACTGTCTCACCCATGCCGGGGCCAGTAATATTACTCGTGCTGAGTTGGCGTTGATTTTCTCAAGTGTTCTGGGTCTGAGTACTGTCAGAGGGAATGCATAAAGTAGTGATCCCTTCCAGCTGATTAACAGTGAATCCCTCAGTGATCCCTTCCTGATTCCTGCCCTGGAGCAGAAAAATCGGCATTTCCTGTTGTATAGAGCGGCAAATAGATCTATAAGAGGTGTTCCCCATCTGTGGAAAATTTGATGAAGGATGTCTGCTCATATTTCCCACTCGTGATCCAGAGGGAATTGGTGACTGAGAGAGACTGTGATTGTATTGCTGGAGCCAGGTAAGTATGACGCTGTGATGGTGATGTCGTTTTGGATGCAGAAGTTCCACAGGGAATGTGATCTCGCTCCTCCTTGCCGGTTGGTATAATACATTGTGGCAATGTTCTCTGTCAACACCCTGACCACAGTGCCTATGATACAGGTGCGAAAGTGCATACAAGGAAAATAGCTCTCAGCTCCAAAAGGTTTATGTGGAGAATTTTTTTGGAGTCCGACCACCTGCCCTGCACCTTCCCCTCATTCATGTGTGCACCCCAACCGATGAGGGAAGCATCTGTGGTTATTTGGCAGGAAGGTTGTGGCCGATGAAATGGAATTCCCACCATGAGGTTGTGAGGCTTCGTCCACCATGTGAGGGACTTGCAGACGTAGGCTCGGGGCACCACTATCTTTTGGATGCTGTGCCTTGAAGGTATGTACATGGACTCTAGCCAGTGCTGGAGGCATCAAAAATGTAGCCGGGCATGAAGAACTACAAAAGTGGTAGTGGCCATATGGCCCATCAATTTCATGCGTGTACTGACACCGAGGGAGCATCGACTAGCACAGTCACGAGGTCTTGTATTGCATGAAATCTTTCTATAGGTAAGTACTCTCTTGCGGTAATAGAGTCGAGCATGGCACCTATGAACTTTATGTTCTGAGTAGGATCCCAAATGGACTTTTTTTCGTTGATTACAAGGCCCAGGGAGTTGAAAGTTTGAACAGTCAACATGACCATGCATGCTGCCTCCTGCCATGTTCTGCCCTTCACGAGGCAATCGTCCAGGTAAAGAAATACCACCACGTTCATCCGACGGAGATGTGCCACCACAACCACAAGTGTTTTTGAAAAAACCCTTGGAGAGGCCACCAGACTGAAGGGTAGAATGCGATATTGAAAGTGATCACTTCCTATAGTGAACTGAAGGAATCGCCTGTGGGCTGGGTGAATGGCGATGTGGAAATAAGCATCTTGCAGGTCAAGGGCTGCAAACCAATTCCCATTGTTGAGCGATGGGATAATTGAAGTTAGTGTCACCATCTTGAACCTCTGTCTCTGGAGGTAATGATTCAGTCCTCGCAGATCTAGAATGGGTCTCCATCCTCCAGACTTCTTTTGAATTAAGAAGTAGTGGGAGTAAAACCCCCTTCCCCATAACTGATTTGGAACTCTCTCTATTGCCCCGATAGAGAGAAGATGGTGGGCTTCCTCTCGTAAGAGTTCTTCGTGAGATGGGTCCCTGAAAAGGGATGGGGTTGGTGGGGTAATAAGAGCAACGGAGGTGAGTGGAATCGTGAATCCGGATGTCATCAGTTCCAACACCCATCGGTCGGATGTTATTGTGGCCCACTGATGATAAAAGGGCCATAACCGATGGTGGAATAAGGGAAGAACATGATGTTGGTTTGCAAATAAGAGCAACGGAGGTGAGTGGAATCGTGAATCCGGATGTCATCAGTTCCAACACCCATCGGTCGGATGTTATTGTGGCCCACTGATGATAAAAGGGCCATAACCGATGGTGGAATAAGGGAAGAACATGATGTTGGTTTGCAACAATGTGAGATGTCTGTATGCCCTCGACCAAGGAGTCAAACCTGTTGCTTTGCGAATGATGGCTTATTTGTTTGTACAGGCTGAGGCCGTCTGTGCTGGGATCGCTGTTTTGGACATGTCTGCTCATATGGGCACTGCTGTTGCCTCTGATACTGGTGGTCATATCTCCTCTGGTATGGATAATACCGCTTGTGCCTGAACGGAGTGGTGTACGTCCCCAAAGCGTGTAAGGTTGTATGAGAATCTTTCCCAGAGTGGAGGATTTCATCTGTTTTCTCCGAGAACAGCTTGTGTTTGTCAAAGTGAAGGTCCTCCACCTTGCCTTGCAGCTCTTTGGGGATTCCCGCTGTTGCTAGCCAGGACAATCTACGCATGGAAATGGCTGTGGCCATGGAGCGTGCTGCTGTGTCCGCAACATTCATTTTAATTTGAAGTCCTGTCCTCAATGTAGTATAACCTTTGTGTACTACTGACCTTAAGATCGACTTCTTGGAATCTGGAAGATATTGAGCCTGCTCAGTCTATTTGGAATAATTATCAAAATTATGATTGGCAAGTAGAGCAGCATAATTCGCTATGTGCAGAAGTAGGGTGGCAGAGGAGTAGGACTTCCTGCCAAAGATATCGAGTTTCTTTGCCTCTTTGCTCAATAGTTTTGAATTGTGGTGCCTTCAACCTTTGTTGAGCTGAATCCACAACCAAGTAATTAGGCTGCAGATGATTAAAGAGACACTCAAAGCCCTTGGCTGGGACGAAATATCTTTTGTTTACTCGTTTGCTTGTCAGGGTTGTCGAGGCTAGTGACTGCCATATTTCGTCTGCAGCCTCCATGATTGCCTCATCGATTGGAAGACCAATTTTCAAATGTTGTTGTGGATGAAGATTTTTCAGTAGACAATGCTGCTTGTTTGCACCTCTGCTAGCTGTACCTCCTGAGTCTCAGCAACTCATTTAAACAGTTCCTGGAACTGTCTCAGGTCATCTAGAGGGCAGACCACCTTAACAGGAGATACTGAAGTCTGGTTTGTCGGTGACATGTGCTCAGGCTGATCCTCGGCCCCAGATATCTGTCCTTCTTCAGGATCGGACTGTTGTAGTTGTGTCTGAGGACTGATTGAAAGTAGTGCGGACAGGTATTCCTTCTGCTGTGTGTGTGTTCCCGCTGGGACGTGTTGATAGTCCGGGGAGTGGCAGCAGCATGCAGGTCAAGTATAGGAGCGGGAACTGGAGTAGCTGTGTGATCTGTGGCACCGATCATGATAATGGTCAGAATAGGTTGGGGAGAATCATCTGGAAGATGCAATGCTGCCATGATGTCTATAATAAATTGTGCAAGGAGAATGCCTCGGTGACCACGGCAAATGAGATGAGCACCTTGCCGGTGATGGTGAGTATCGGTGGCGAGGTGACATGTGGTGTCTCCGAGGTCGAGGGCTGCGCCACAGTGAGTAAGACCCTCGAGTGCTGCAGTTGTACCTAGCCTCCTGTGTGGGAGAATAGTGCCTAGGAGGTGAAGGAGATGGTGCTGGTGAGAAAGTTGGAGATGGGGAGAGAGATGACAGGTGCCTGGTCGTTTTGCAAGTGGCTTTTCATGGTGCTGCAGCCGCGCCGCTGTCCAGCCGGGCATGCTCTCCATTGTCATGCACCATCAGTGCTGGGGAGTGCCATGGTTCTCTGCTGCGCTCTGTTGTCTCCCCTCTCCCCCGGTGCTGATACTTCTGGTGCCAGAAATGCCTCCGGTGCCTGCAGCGTCTCCGGTGCCAAGCCCTCTGTCCGCGCGGCTCTTGAGGCACTTGCTGCGCCTCCGGTGCTGCCATCTATGCTGGCGGGGCTGAGCCTTCCTGGTGCCGGCTTCTGCTGTGCCTCCGCTGCTGTCAGCTAGGCTGGCAGGGCTGAGCTGACTTCTCCTGCGGCTTTCAGTGCCGGTGCCAATGCTGGCTTCCATGCCAGCATGGCACTTGCTCTTGGTGCTGAGGCAGCTGATCTCTTCACCATGGCCCCGGTAGTAGTTCTAGGGGCAGCGGGAGTGGATCCTGATGTGCCCGGCTCATCCCCTCTGCTGACCCTTGTCGAGGGTGCAGCAGGTAGAGAGTGAGTGGGAGACGCTCTAACTCTTTTCACTGAAGATGGCCCAGGGGATGAAGTGCCTCTCTTTTGTGCCCCTGTATTGATTGCAGCCGGTGGCAGAATGCTGCTTGAAGGCTGCAGCGCTTTATCAAACAAAAATAATTTCAGGCGCATTTCTCTTTCTCTCCACACCCTTGATGTAAGTTTCAAGCAGTGCTCACGCTTGTGGGGGATGTGAGCTTCCCCCAGGCAGCAGATATAAGCCGCATGCCCATCCAATGCTGGCATAGCCTCCCAGCAACGGGAACACTTTTTAATGCCTGAGGAGCCAGGCATGTCAATTTCAAGATTTTTAACTAAATATCTAGCAACTAAACACTAACTACTAACTAACTACTGCTAACCATTATCCTAACATGAAGCTCTAACTATACTAACTCTGTTTATACACAGAAGCTGAGCATCACTAAGGAGAGCAGGGAAGCTCTGCCAGCAACCAAGGACAGTTGAAAGGAACTGACAGGAGCCAGACCGCGCAATCAAAGGTGCGAAAGCTGCAAGACGTTGGCCGTGCACGCATGGTCCAGCTGACAACTGCTACTGAAAACCTCCAACCAGTGACGCTGGGACGAGCCCGACACCAAGAGTGGAGCATCCACGGGGACCACTCGAAGAACTATTGTTACCTCAAACAGGACATATTTAGAATTCTTAATATGAAACGTGGCAAAAATCTGCCTGTGTGGCCTATATGTGGCCTCTCTAGTGCAAAGTCCCAAATGTCAAAGACATTCCTTATAACAGATCCACAAATAAATCATGAGCATAGATCAGAACATACTGTCATGGAAATATAGAACCTTTGAACTTCTTTTTAGGAAATGTGTACACTGTAATTTAAAAAACAAAAATTTTTGGCTGTGAGCCCAGATACATAAGCTCAGGCTTGTGGGGCTCATGCCTTGGGGCTAAAAATAGCAGGGTATATATTCACACTTGGGCTGGAGACAGGGTTCTGAGACCTTCCTTTTTTGCAGTGTTTCTCAGCTGGGGCTCCAGCCGAGGCCTAAATAAGTACACTCTTTTTAGACCCATAACCTGAGTCCTTTTACTAACAGAACACAAGAAGGTCACCCAATTAAATTTATAAGCAGACAATTTAGAATAAAATAAATTATTTCTTCACAGTTAACCTGTGAATCTCATTGCCAAGGGATGGTGGAAAGTCCCAAATTATAACAGGGTTCCAATAAGAACAAAATAAATTCAAGAAGAATAGGTCCATCAATGGCTGGTTATAAGCCAGGATAGTATCTCCAGCCTGTTTGCCAGAAGTTGGGAATGGATGATAGGGGATGGATCACTTCTTATTCATTCCCTTTGAAGCACCTAACATTGGCTACTGTTGGAAAACAGAATATGGGCTAGATGGACCATTGGTCTAACCCAATATGGGCTTTATGATGTTCTTACATAGAACCCAAAGTACATGTTCCCAGCTGTAACCTACTGGACCCTACTCCCCTCCCAGAGCTGAGATAGAGCCTGGAAATCCTGACTGTGTGACTCTCCCTCTCTGAATAGTAATGAAGTAAGAATATACATTGAAATTTTAAGCCTAACCAGTGTCCTTTAAATGACTTGCCACAAGATGTCAGAATATGATAGTATTAGAATAGATCTAATAGTCATTTAATGTTTTTATTTTATACAACACTCCTGTTAGCTAATTGCTAAGCTATTTGTCAACAAACTAGTTTTTAATTGCCTTAGTAGCCCCTTGAAAGAGGTGATGTGGCTTGGTTCCTTTCCTCCCCCGCATTTACAATTTGGCTTGTACTGAACATGCTTAGTAACACTGCTGAAGCTGCTGTCCTCACTTTGCCCCAACCTCATGTCTTCACTCTGCCCTCCCTACTATTGTGGCATGCACAGGTCCCTCTCCACACACCAAAATCTGAAATGGTGCTTCCACCTCTGTCCTCTCTCTCAAAATGTGCCTGTGCCCAAAGTGAGGGACTACTGGACGCCTAAAATGATTCAACATCTGTTTCTTTTAAATAATTAATAAAAAGAAAAGCACATCAGAGTTATTTGGGGGCACATTTAATGTGTTGTGTTGTGAGGGAAGGAAATAAATTCTAACATTTTTACAAATAAAGTGCAGAGATGCAATTTTCTACATTTAAGGTAAATTTTATTTTAGATCTTAGCATGCATTAATCCTAAAACAAAAGTTAATCCATTATATAGCCCAAGCTTTCAAAAGGGTTTTTACAGTGTTCAGATTTGCACCGGGAAACCTACTGTTGACATCTACCTATTTGAGCAGCAAGAGTTAACATGTCTGTGCTTGCAAACTGAATAATATACTTCTGACTTCTGCTTATTTTCACCTTCAAATAGATGTGTACCAAGAAGTACAAACCCAAATTCATAGGTTCTTTAGAAAATTTTGGCTATTACCTTTAAGAAACTGACTGGCTAGTACAATTTGAAAGAACTTATCGCGCTCCCATCTGAAGAGACCACAATCTCTAAAACAGAAAAGGGAAGAAAGAAAATATATTTTCCTTAGTTTGCAGAACAAACCAGTATATCTAAACTTTATGGCTCACAAAGGATCAAGAAGGAATTTTCCCTCAAGTCAAACTGTGGCATGACCTTGGTTTATTTTTTCCTCCTCTGCAGTATGCAGTGCAGGTTATATACCACGATTATCTGGGTATATCTAACTTAATCAATTCCTTATCTTTGCAGAGGCCTCAGGCATTGGGGCATGTCAGTCGCTAGTGTGGCACATAATATTTTAGTCTCCTGTGGGCTGTGATACTTAGGGTCTAATTTTGTTTGTTGGGCTTAGCAAGCAGGTGCTGGCTGGTATTGGTGGATTAAGTTCAAGTGCTTCCTTCTTGCCTTAAATGCTACAATTATGACATTGAAACAGATTTAAACCAGATGAAAGAGTTACAAAACAGACCATTTGGGTAGGTTCAGTTTCTGTCCTGTTATTCAGTTCTAGAATAAAATGCTCAGCTGACACTAATACTGATTTTGTTAGCTTCTCAAGTAGGTTTTTTTCCTCCATGAACCATGAAGTTCCAGAACTGATGAAATTTTGGATTTGGCACAAGCTGTTGCTGGATAGTGAACAAAGTCACTGGAAAAGTTCACGTTAGCAGCAGGAGTTTCCTTTTAACTCACATAATAAAACACATTTTTGACTGCATACATAACAAGCAGTGGTTATAAACTTAAATTTAACACTTAGGCACAGAGAATCCAACTCTGGACTACATACTCAATAAATATACAAACACCTCTT